TTGTTGACTACCCACATTTGCTGACTACCCACATTTGCTGACTACCCACATTTGCTGACTACCCACATTTGCTGACGACCCACATTTGCTGACTACCCCACATTTGCTGACTACCCACATTTGCTGACTACCCACATTGGCTGACTACCCACATTGGCTGACTACCCCACATTTGCTGACGACCCACATTTGCTGACTACCCACATTTGCTGACTACCCACATTGGCTGACGACCCACATTTGCTGACTACCCACATTTGCTGACTACCCACATTGGCTTATTTAAAATAAGACTATGCAGTGGCGTTCACCCGGTACGGTAAACTCATGGTGTCAATGCCGTCTTAAGGCATGGGCGCAGTGGGCACTTGTCCAGGGCCCCGCGCTTCTGGGGGCTGCTTCTAGGAGACTCACTCTTATAAAGGCTTTATGTTGCAAATATTGTTAATGAATATTGAGAAGTTTTGGCAATTAAATTTGATTTAAAAATCAGTGGACAGCATTTAACCCACAATTTTATCGACACGTTCCAAAATTAATATTATAAATGCGAATCACAAGTTGGATACTGTTAAAACTTTTAAAGGGGAATAACTCTCGTCAACAAGTTTTACTTCTCCCAGATATGAATCGAAAAATAATAAAAGTTAGAGCATTTGTTTACAATCAAGTTAGACAAAGATGTAGGCCCCGGGCGGTAATAACCCTAGATACGCCACTGCTCCGTAGTGAAATTAGTGGATCAAAATCTATCCGCACCAGTTCAAGTGCTACTGACTTTTATTAACATGATATCAGGAATATGTAGGTCGCCAATGAATAATTCTTATTAAAAGTAAATTTATTTAAACAAAAAAAACAACAAAAGACAAATAACTTTATATTTTTTCAACAGAAAAATCTTGTGTATTCTGTGTCCGAAAGACATATTTAGATGATAAATAGAACCCAACAGTCACCGTATGTCTGAGCTGTAGGCATAAATATATAGGCATTGAGACATAATTGTGCTCACTGTGTAAAGCTCAAAGTCATTTTCATCTTAATTACCTGGTAGCTCAAACACAGAGATCGAGAGTATTAATTGCCCCATGGCTGTTGATCATTTCCCAATGTTCGTTTTTAGTGGGCCACAAGTCAGTCTGAAGGGACAGACGAATCCATTTTGAACGGAGTGCTGCCATTACTATAGAAATACTTGATGAATATATTTCTAGGTGTTAATCCCCTTAAGCGGAATTTTAAAAAATAGTTTTACAATAGGAGCACAGAAGAGAAAAAGAGCTGAGGAGACAAGGAAAACGGGTAAACTTCCAAAATTAACATCTTGGTTAAATCCAATCAAAATATCAGTGACTAATACTGCTCCTAAAAATAAAGTATTGTCATCCCCATCCTCTATTGGATCCAGCCTTCTAGTTCCAGACAATACCATTACCTACTTCCTCTGCTGGGGAAAATGTAAAAACTGAATTACACAAAACTGTGTCTGAAAACGAGAGCCTGTGATTCACCACACAGATCCCGGGCGTTGGAATATTAAGAACACTTGTAAAGTTGAGTACTGGATTCGTCGTGGGCCATCATTGTGTCAGAATCATGACTGCAATCTTTCAAACTCAGGCAAAGCTGGAGAAGAAAGAAATAAGACAAGGTATTTATCAAGAAATATGTTCAAACGTCAACTGCGGAATGGCGAGTATGTCAAACTCGAATGGCTTCTCTATTCACCATACCAAGGTATTTTGTATTGTTTTGTCACCATACCAAGGTTGTTTGTATTGTTTTGTCACCATACCAAGGTTGTTTGTATTGTTTTGTCACCATAAAAGGTTGCTTGTATTGTTTTGTGTGTCGTCTATTGTACAAAAAAAGGTATTTCCCTTTGCTATATCAGGATTCAATTATTGGAAACATAACATTATTATTGTAGAGCATGAAAATGGAGTAGTGCATTGCAAGGACATGATTGCATATTTGTTTCGACTGAAAGAAGCTAGGTGTTTAGGTCCTTAATTAATCAAAGACCATAGGTCAACACAGAAGTACTGGCATCAAGTTCTGACTCATGGGGTTTATGTCGTTTGCTTCCTTGCCTCCAGAGGCTTAAGTCAAACTATTGGGTCAGTAAACAATGGAAATTGTTTAGGTATTTTAGAGCTGCTGAGTGAATGTAATCCTTTTTTTTTTTTTTGGAGGAGCATCTCAAACTATAATGGAAATGCTGGCAAGGGTAACATATCGTATCTGTCGGCAAATATTTGAGAATAATTTATTGATCTAATGGGGCAACATGTCCTTTGTCCTATTCTGGAAGAAATTACAGAGTCAAAATATTATTCAATAAGTTATGATTCCTCTTCAGACATTTCACACATTGATCAACTGACATTTACGGTCCGGTACATTCGAGGACGTAAGTCTATGGAAAGTTTTATCAAGTTAATTTCCATATTTTCCCATGGAGCAAAGGATCGAACAGACACTGTTGTGTATCAAA